AAGTGCAATTCTGACAGACTTGGACTCGGTCCCTATACGTGGCACTCATCGGACGGTGCCAGCCCCAGCCAGCGGAAAGTTCGGGACCCCGAAATGTACCTAGTTAAAGTGCGCTTTTTGACAACGGGATGGTCAATGTAGTGTGACATGGCCGCATACGAAAAGCAGATTCTAGACGTGGGCAATTATGTACAGAGCCCTCTCCTTTCCTTCTGAGAAGTTGGTCAGCTGAAAATTGAATCAACTTCGATTCAACCTCCCGTTTCATGCTCAAACATCAACCTGTGAGCCTCCTCTCATCAAGACCTTGCATCAAGAACTTGGTTGTACCACACAAGACACTAGAAAGCAAGCAAAGCGCTCACCTCTGGTCCCTCTTTTTCACACAAGTCGTCTTCGTCCTCAAATCCGACACCGTTCCCTGACTTGTTCAATTTGGCCTCCAATGCCTGCGCATGTAAATAGAGTTATCAGCAAGCCTGATCTGAGCTCTGTACCATCACGCAAAGCTAGAAGATTATTCCAAGCCGAAGCAATCTTGCAGACTTCAACGAATTGGGCAAACAGGTGTTTTTAACCCCACTAAATTCTGCTGAATGCTGTCCGCAAGTGATTTGCTTCGCTAACAGCATGTAGTGCGAGTTTTTCCTGATAAAACTGAGGCCATCAAGCAAACAGCTCATGAAGTCCAGCCCCTGAAGATACAGCAAACAGATGACCTACCTTGAACCTTCTCTCATACGACTTGTATTTGTCTCCGAGCTTTTGGGCCACCCACTTCACTCTATCTTTGCCATGTGGGCACGCTTCCTCATAAGCCTTGAGCTTTGCTGCCAGGACACTATCCTGGAGGAGATCTACCACAGCTCGTTCAAAGAAGGGAGAAGATGCCGTATATGGGAGAGAGGTATTGTTCTGCCGAATCTGCTCGTGGAGATACTGCGAGTACACCTTATCTTCCTCGATTGTCCAAACGAAGCGATCCTTCTTCGAATCATCCTTCAGTTTCTTATCAGCTTTGCCTTTTGATTCCTTCAAAGCCTGGTTTGTTTCAGGTGGTTCAGCAGCTGGCGCTGCCACCGTGCTGGCTGCTGCAGCTGACGACAGAGCGGCTCTAGAGCTGTCCTTTTTGAAGAGCCGCTTCTGGAGTGGGCTGTTCACTGCAGAAAGGTGACAGGCAGTCTGGTTTAGGAATAGTGCTACTAAATAGTTCTACTATGAAGATTTGCTTCAGTTTCGATATAGGTCTGAGATTGAACGCTTGCTTTATTATATTGCTTCACTACACTCATGTGAGCAGGTCAGAAAGAAGGGGGAAAGAAGATTCATAAAGTGTCAAGAAGATTTGCCTTTGGCATGTCAATTGTCAAAGTCTGCAACACGACAATATGTCCTTTGACCTTCCACAGCATTGCAGGGACATTGCAGCCCCACTAGGCAGAAAAATCTTTGTAAGAATCTCAAAGGAATAGGATCTTTGAACTTACCTTCTGGATCGCTGTCTGAGCTGTCACCACTCGTATCTGAAGATGTGAAACTATCCGACCCACTTTCTGAGTCACTTATAGCACCTCTACCGGAGCCATCGCTGCTGGAGCTAGCATCACGCTCTCTTTTCTGCCTTTTTCCTCTTTTGCTCTTTCCTTTCCTGGACGGATCAGAAGACCTCTTCTTGTATTTGTAGCTGGAGTCACTGTGCCTGCTCTTCTTCTTGCCTCTCTTTGAAGAGCTCCGATGCGACTTTCTTTTCTTTGAGTGGTCAGATCTGAGGTCAGAAAGTGCTCCAGATCTCCGTCCTTCAACACCTTTTGCTTGGTCAGGCGTGTCTTTCAGACATTCTGACAAATCAGCGTTAGGTGAACCCATGACTGCTCATGCACAAGCAGCAAGCTACATCCGCTGCTGTCCTTGATGCTGAAATGAAAAGCCTTTGGCTAGCTACGATGGCGGCCAGAGAGTTGCGACTGAGGCTTGTGATATCAATGCCAACTTAGCTTCTGTGCATCTGTGCACACTTTGCAGACAAGATGAAGCTACCCAGAAGGCAGATCTAGAGGCTTCTACGGGCCACCTTCTTCAGAGTTCTCTTGAAAATATCTCCCCAAGTCGCCCACTTCTTACCATCCATTTCCGGGCCATTTCCGAGCCTTGTGCTGAACGAGCTAGCAACTAGGTGCGGATGACAGACCAGCAGTTCGGCCGACCGCGGCGCAGCGCCTCCGCACCGCTGAACTTACCGAACTTACCGAGCCAAGCACATCGATTTGGTTGTGCTACGCTCGGCAGGCTCGGCAAGCGAATTTCGGCACTTACCGGACTTACCGAGCCTCGATGTAACTTCGGCAGGCTCGGCAGGCCCGATTTTCGAGTTACCGAACTTACCGAGCCCCATGTAACTTCCCTCAATGCTGCTGACTCGAGCCTCCTTCCAAAGCAAGCTTTGTTGAAAACACTGTACGATAGTATGGCAGAGGCCGGGCAATTTGAGAACCTGGCTGCGTCCGACGGAGTACAGTGACTTTGAAAGACCCACTCCGCAACCACTTGAACAGCGTGGAGTCGGGGAAGACGCGCTGATATGGAAGCCAGCTGAAGCCATAGCGTTGGTGCTGGCACCAGGAGGCGGCCCGCAGAAAGAGCTAGCTAGCCAGGTACACATCGTGAAAGGCGCGGGCCTGAGGAGGGCGCACGAGCCAACGAAGGGGTAGACGAAAGGAGAAAGCAGGACCAGAGATTCCTCTGATTGCTGCTGATCTAATTCAGAACCTTCCCTTGGCACAAAGCGCCTCCCAATGTCACTCAACACGTCGTCCCCAGTCTTGGACTGCCGGCTGGCACAACTTTCACATGTTGTGCGCTCATTCAAGCACCGCTCGAGCCAATATCAGCTCGTATTCTTAAGCTGGAGCACAAAGGAGAAAGCGTGCCTCATCCTAAACAAGGTCGACAAGAAAGCAGAGACGGATCAATGACATAAAAGGTGACATGTTCTACAGCCTATAAGTCATGGGAGGACACGGCGGCCTTAACATCTTGCCTCAAAAGAGTTGGCATGTGTACAACTATGAAGCGAGGGAGAAGGTCAGGCGTGACGAGGAAGCGCATGCTGCAGAGGAGCAGAATCAACGGGACCGGCAACTGCAGGTACATGCAACAGGGTCTCGGAAAAAGTCTGATCTGATTTGCTGTTGCCATGTATTCCTTCTCTCTGGTATAGCCCTGGAGTCAAGGCTTTTGGCTTCTTGAAAAGGTTGTACTTTTCAAAGAGAATATGCATCTGGTGGAGTAGCAAGTATTCAAGACAAGGACCCATCAGCTGCACTTTCTCATTTCAATGTTGGGCACTTGAGGGTTTTCATGCAGAAGTTTAATTGGGGCAATTTAAGTCGAAGCTTGGAGGATTCCAATCTCATTGCACCAGGGTTTTTTGTATGAGAAGCTACGCTAACACCCTATCTATCTAATCTGGTTTCAGGCCAACCTGCAATCTGGTTGATAGACAGCTACATGTGTCGCAGCATGGTTGCAGAACATGTGACTTGGCTCGTCTCAAGTCATCCATAGCCCTCAGTGGAAGAACGTTCAGCGCAGGAACAGAGCTGATGTTTGCGCAAGGTTTGGCAGTGCCAACAGCACCTTGCGTGCTTCTTCTGAGAAGTTGAAAGTAGAGGCTCGATGTCTTGGGCACACGTCCCATCTTCTTTGGCGGAATCTGGTCAACCAACCTTGATCAAGTCAACCGCTGATAAATCTGTGCAATCATCTGCATAAATTGTTTCTCCACCTAATCTAAGAAGCTTACCACCGCCATCCTTGGCAGGTTGAAGGAGAGCTGCGTCGAAGGAAGCTGCTTGACAAAGCGAAAAAGAGGCATCGAAACGAGGACAACCTGACGGGAGAGCCTGCCCGTTTGGCCGCCAACTCCGAACCTGCGGCCCCCCAAAGCAATGCGCTGCAGACAGCGCAACCTCAAGAGCATATCAACCTTTTTGAGGGGGTGACTCCGCCTGAGCCGGTGAAGAAGGGCAGCAGGACGGCGGTGGGGAGCTTGAAGGCAGAGGCGGAAGGGGCTGCAGAAGATGCGAAGCACCGCCTGGGGTATGGCTGCGTGTCCGGGGTTGACGGAGTGGCAAAGCCCTGGTATCTGAAGAAGTCAGGGCTGGAACAAGATACACCAGAGAAGCGGGAAGAGAAGTCAGTAGAGAAACCACGAAAAGGTAGGCACTGCATACTTGCTTCTGTCTGTGTCGTCCTGTGTTGAGCATATCAATCAAAGCAAAGAGCATGTACTGGGTAAAAGAGGCCTGTCGCTCTCGCGACTTTTCGGAAATAACACCCCGAGGTTCAGAACATCCTGGGCTTGAATGTTTTTCGGTTACTGCGTCTCTGGGACTTTCTGCTCTTCAAAATCGAGGAACTTACAGCAATGATAAAAGCAGCTTTCTGCAGCTAAAGTGTCAATGGTTGAAGTAGGGTGGAGTTCTTACTTAAATATCCGTGGATGCAGATGCTGAAAGACCTCCAGCCAAGAGCGGCAAGAAAACCATTGAACAGCTTCGGGCAGAGCGGGTGCAACGGGAGAATGCGGAAAAAGAACGTCAGAGGCGGTTGATGCTTGGAAGAAGCACACCAGGAGCTCAGTCGCTGACTTCTAAGGAGGTAGCAACAGGTGGAGTTCAACAGAGGTATAATTCGGCCTTTGGGTATGGCAGATAGATTGTACATCGTTTTTCGTCGTTTGCTCTTTCAAAAGGTATGTCCAGTTTAAGGACAGAGAACATGCAGGCAGGACGTAACACAGGCTTAGAGCTGTTAGATTTGATGCGACAGGATAATTGGTCATCCCAGGAGTAGGCTTTTTTCATAGTTACAAAGAGGATTTTGAAGACGCGCAAGTTAGTTGTACAGAGATGATCTAAACATTCACATATTGACCTTTAAACATAGATTTGGTGGATCTTCAAGACTATACATGCCGCTGCGTATACCAAAGTTCATGTCCGGCTGTCAGTGGAACCAATGACATGTGCACTTGTGAGGTCTGCACATGATCTGCATGGCCACTCCGGGGCCAGCTTGGAAAGGATTACGCGCTGAGGTTGGAATCCAACTCCTTCCATTATATTGAGCTCATCCGATATCTTAATATCGAATTTTCGTTGGTTGCCGCGGCAGCCTGCACATCTATCACTTAATTACCGCCCACATATTGTCATATGAGCGTGGCCGGAATTGAACGGACGCAGAGTCTTGATTTTGATGCGTATCATTCTATAAGACAGGCCGGATGCACAGCTTATAGGAGCTAGGTCAAGATCACAATGAACACATGCAGTATGATCAGTACATGCCACGCTTTGATATTTCACAATCCATGCGTTCGATCAGATCTCATGTGGCGTCGGAGTCCGGCCACCGTACCAACAAGCAACAGATGCAGTCTGTAGCCCATGCGGTAAATTCGCTGAGGTGAGACACAGTAAATGACTCACACGCGGCTGTGATCGTCCGCCTTAGCGGAACTCGTGACCGAGAGCTCTGCACCTCTATTCTGGTCCTTCAAGTGCGGTCACTGCCAGTACATATTCTTAGTGATGGCCGCATCACACGCATGTCAATGTCCTTTTTAATAGAGATGAAGGCCTTGTCAGGTGAGAGAGCGCTGAGAGAACACGTACATTATGCCACAGTCCGCACTTAAGCACATTCCTCGACATCCGAGGCAAGAGCTTTGCAAGTTGCAATCCTGCCAAAGAAGACCAGCAAGAATGGTCATCCGTCATCTGATGCGTTAGAAGCATACTCCGCCACTCATTGGGTCCCTAGACTTGACCTCACGTTCCGAACGATCCGATCGTGTATGCGATCCTGCAAGAAAGCAGCGACGCATCAATCCGCAGGTCCATTGATAATTGCGAACTTCGAACCTATCTCTCTAGTAAGGGCTTTCACGAACGACACCGGCATATGAGAGCTGGACTATGCATCAAATTTTGCGTCGGCTCCTAGCAGTGACACTAGAATCGAACCAAGATACTGAGAGAACATGCGAAACTTGAAGGAGGAGGTTTAACGAGGGCAATTAAGGGGAAACAAAGAAGAAGTGATGAAACTCGGTTGCCAAGCAACGCGCATACATGGTCCCTGTTCTGCTAAGTCAATCACAATGAGCAGCAGTGAGACCGCAACCTTCCCTATCTCACCTGAAGGTTTGGCAGCTGTATACTCTGCCCCGTTATCGTCTCGTACAAAAGAATATACCTGCAAAAAAGCGAAGAGTCTGCAAAGGGAGAATCTGCTGGATTGTCCTCCGGATTGCGCAATGGAAAAGACTCTCGGCGAAGTGCAAAATAGTGAAATAAAGAGAATCCGTATTCCGTAGATATGGAATCTGCACCATGAAACACCCTTGAACGACGTATCTCTCGCGAAGCTCAAGTGTTCAAGCTGCAAGACGCTGATGATTCTAATCTGGCCGACGCAGCTCAGACTCAAATCTTTGCTGCGAGGTGGCTCCCTGAGACTGTTGCCTTGCTGAGATAGCGTCTGAATGTGCACAGAGTGAGAGCGCTACCTTCTCGAAAGCTCGGCCACCAATTCTTTGGGAGCTTCTGGTAGGACCTGGACAAGCGCGAAGACGACCACAAAGTCAGCTTTTCGAACAACAAGACTCGGCGGAAAGGTTGTTTTAGAAAACGTAGGTGGGGCCCGTGTCCATTCTACGGAAACCAAGTTCGGGTCTCTGTCTTAGAGATTGTTTCAGGGTCCAAGGTGAATTGGCCGCTGCCGAAGATACTGGGCTGGAGCGATAGAGCACCATTTGCTGAGCCAGTCCAAGAGCCTATCCTTCGGTTCACGAGTCCTAAGAAGCCGCAATGGTAATAATTGTCCAGTCAAATGGAAAGGGAGAACTGCAGACGGGTGAAATGAGGTGCAGCTTCTTGTTGCAGAGCAACTGTTCAGCCTCTTGGCTTTGGTCCAGGAGCTGTGAGCGCTACACGTCTTTGACAGTCTATCCGGTGTGTCCGGGCAAACTTGTCGCAGGTGCGGCTACATATGTCGCAGGAGCATGTCATGCGGAAGAAGGCCCCCAGATCACTCACGGAGACCTTATGATGACGTTGCAAGCCGCAGTGGATTGGTGAGGCGTCTCACCTCGTCATTGTACGGGTCGCAGTTGTCTCGGAACCAGAGCCGCAGAAACTCCTGCACATACGTGAGAACAGCCGTTCAGCGACCTGCCTGCTTGACTGCACCGCAAATAACTGGTTAGCAGAAGGTGACCCACAGTGAGCTTGTGTATTACTGATCACAAGCAGGAAGGCAACTGTCCTCTTGAGCATATTCCAGAGCATTGACCATATATTGAAAGTACAGTTCTCCGGGGACGGCTCACATTCAACAAGTCGCGGATACAATTGACTGGAGGCCAGTCTTCGGTTCTCGTTCTTCGAAATCTCAGCCGTTGAATCAACTGAAAAGCCGGCATCGCACCGCTACTGGGCCCACCAGGCGCGAGCAGGAATATCCCAAGCTAAAAAGACAGGGACAGATTTCCTCAAGAGGTTCAGGAGCAAACTGAACAAAACAGCAGAACGGATGGAAGTGAAGCTCGCCGACCTTGTCGATGTTCTCCGGCTCTTGCCCAGACGCGTGCCGCTCCTCGTAGCTGGAGGCGAGCCAATAGCGGCTTGAGTCCGGAGTGTGCACCTCGTCGATCAGCAAAATCGAACCGTCCGCCGCTTTCCCGAACTCGTACTTGGTGTCCACCAGCAGCAGGCCCCGCTCCGCCGCCACTTTCTGTAGGCAGACAGTCTGGTTGTAAGTACGGGCAATCTGATAAGTCTTTTCGCCCATTTACCCGAGGGCCTTTCTGGATCTATGGGCCCAGGAGCAGGCCGCGCTCCGCCGCCACTTTCGATGAAGCAGGCGTTCCGGACGTGAATATGGGCTCTTAGAAGCGGGTGTCGGGAGCACCTTAATGGTTTTGCGGGTGCATGAAGCGGGCCATATCAAAGAAGGGAATGTTATTAATACGGCAGGGTCTCGGGCGTTGGTTTGGGGCGCTGCAAACGCTTTGTGGATTCTTGACCTCGGGTGGGGAGCACTGTGGCCACTCTTTCCAAAATTAATGCTTTTGGATAAGGCGCGTCGGCTGCTGAAAACCACTCGCTGGCCGCCCTTCTCGAAAGTATTCTTTCGCGCACATTATGGACAGCTCTACTCAATCGTGCCTGTGAAAGCGAAAGGCGTCGCGTCCCAGCTCGGGCAGTGCGGATGCTCACCAAAAGTCACTCAGACCATGCAAAAAGCCTTGCAAGTTTGGCGATTTCATCAGGCAACTTAAATGAGACTCGAGCACGCTCGATCTGTTCCTGACAGGCCACGTCAGCCTCAGAGCGGATTCGACTCAGTGTGCGACCTCACCGAAACATCTTCCCAATCTTGCTCCCATTTCCAGGGAATTCGGAGAAACACGGAATACTGCTACCGTTCACGCAAGTTCTTGCACTGCTGAACAACCCTGCAGGGAGCTGAGGTGCTCACCTGGCCGTAAGCAAACAGCGCCAATGCCCTCTCCGCCACGAATCCGTAATCCTCCTTCGACATTAGGCCTTGCTCCACGATCTATTGAGAAGAAGAACGTCGGAGTTCAGGAACGGGTTTGAGGACGAGACGAGAGCATATCCTTTCCCACGGAATGAGGGGGCCTAAAATGCTGATGAGCAGATAAAGACAGCTTCATGACTGGCAAAAGAGATAATAGCGTCATTGAGGGTCAATCTGAGAAGGTAAAAGGTTCTGGTACTTGCAGCAGAGCTGGGATAAGGAGTTCAACATATGTGGACGCACGACCACATGAATCCGACTCGAACAAGACAATCTTACCTTGGATACAATCTACGAGATTTCCGTGCGAGGAGACTGCGAGGAGATACTGAACTCAAAATCAAGCAATCCGGTCTTACGAACAGTGATGGTGGCCAAAGTTCATCTCACCTCCTGGGGTGAAACGGGGGCGTCGTGGTCTTCGGCCTTGGTCGTGGGAGTGAGGATGTTCTCAGGCAACCGTTGATTCTTCACCATTCCTGCACGGACAGACCGGGGAGCGTTTTCGAATTGAACCATGCCAAGCATGGTGCAGAGGGCTTCTCAGTTGCGACTGCTGGAATCTATCTCTGAATCTCGACCAAACGGCTAGACGTGAGTCTCGAAAGAGGATATTATGCGGTTTCCAACAGCAGGGCGGTATGAAAGACCTGCGAGACTGGTGAATCTACTAAATGTGCAAGCGGCCTTTGTACTTGACTAAGATCAGGATCGACCTCGAATTAAGAGAAAAGCACCGCTCGAAAACCATTACACTCGAACCTCCGCACTTCGAGAAGCGATTTTGTTTGTTGGTCCCCAGGACGAAACAGAAGAGCCGCTCTTTGCTTTCATCCGAATCGTAATCAGCTTCGTTTTAATCGAGCATGCTCACCTTCGTCCAGCTCATTCCCGCAGTAGTTCCTGATGCCCTTGTTGTAGACGGTCCACAAGGACGTGCTCGTGGTACCCGTGATGAAGCCGCGTACTGCAGAAGGTAAGACGACTTATCAAGAGACCTGCATCTGACTAATACCTTGCCCCCTGTTTGGCTCGTCTGACAGACAAATCTTGCACCTCTCCACCTCTCCACCTCGCTTGGAGAGGTGGCAAGCGAGTGCCTCGTGAAAGAAAGAACGAGGTCGAGTCTGTGGGCAATCAGGTTCTAAACCATCTCCAAATTGATCGGGAATCACCGGATCCTACTTTTCAAATCTGTGCTAATTGGACCAGGGCCTTGCTCTGTCAACTTCCAGTACAATAGACGAAGGAAATTCTGTGCCAATTACCTACAAACTCCACTGGGAAGACTTTGCACTTCTGAAAGACGGTGACGTTTGGGTCTGGAGACGAGAGGAAGGCGTTTGGGACGAGATCCCGGGTCTGCTCGAACCACCACACGCTGGTCTGGTTCAGAACCTGTTGCAAAAACGAGTTAGAGTGTTCAGTTGCACCAGAAAGTTCTCCTATTTCAGGTCTCGTACTGTTCAATGAAGGCAATGAAGCTTATGTGCAATACAGATTTGCATTTCTTGGAGGCCACAAGAGACTGCGGCAACACGGGACATGGATAGTCAGTTTCCGTTTTTTGATGCCGACGCTAGCAAACAGATTGTTGCTCTTAGGATTGGTGACAGGTAGGCTATCACAAGGAGACTGCAGCATACCTGACCTTTGAACGGGACTGCGGCTAAAATCCTGTCAAAAGCGCTCTGACGATCGGTGGTCACAATCACCAGCCTGTCGCCTGCGTCATAAGTGTCTCGCACCTACAGTTGAGACCAACAGTTCAATAATGAATTACGTGACTCCGACAAGGCCAACCATTGCACCTTGACAGTAGCCTAACCACCAGTAAGTGCGTCGGACTTCGTGAACGCATTAGTTATCAATGAGTTGATAAAACCGATCCCAGTCGATCCAGTCGAAGACATCCATCACTACAATCTAAATCTGTTTCCTGAAAGATTGATGTGTCCGGGGCTTGAGTCCTGCAAATGATCAATAAGGCCCCAAGCCTCAATTGGTCCACTGTATGCCTTTCTGGAAAAGAGTGGGTGGTTACCTTCCCTTCCTTCTTTGATTGCAGGACGGGAATCTCCTTCTCGAGCCACGTCTTATCTAAGCAGTTGCTCAAAGCAGCCTGGATCGCTTTTTCGACCTCTGGCTGCCGAAGGCTAAGATCTGGCAAAGACCTTTCTGCAGCAAAAACATCAGTTGGTACAAAAGGTCATGACACCAATGAAGACAAAGTGGTTGAAACCAATTGTCTGCAAAGATTTGTTTAAAATGGATGCCGCATCCAGGTCAATCAGGCGGATATGTGAATGATACAATTAATGGGGCAATCTCTTGAGCAGCCATCAAGCAGCTTCATCAAGGCTTATCCTAGAATACCGGTCGTGCTCGTAACGTGTTGCGACGTATCTTCCATCTCCAAAATGCAATATTTGAAAGAATTTTGCAGAGATTTCTTGCACCAGGGCTCTGACGTCTTGCAACCAATGAAATGATGCCAAAGATGTACCTGATTGCATGGTCGCCACTGCACCACCCTGCTTGAGTGTGAAACTCCTCGTACCCTTGCTTTTCCTCCCTTCGCTTGATAAGGTTCTCTTTGCGAAAGGACCACCAAAGGAAGGTTTAGGGAGCTCTATGCAGAAGCCAGCTGCTGTTCTCTTTGAGTAAGGAAGGGTGTGCGACAATGCAGATTGAAATGCAAAAGTTTCAGATCGTATGGCACGCAATGCTGCCTCCATATTGTTGTCACTTGGACTGTTTCAATAGAGGAGTGGCGCGGAAGAATGTCGATCTTTGACTGTGCACATTGAAGAGAAACCTTTCTGTTTCAGCTGCCGCCTGGCAGCCAAGGAGAACGGAAAAATGCAGCAACGCCTCGCACTGAGTCGCAGATTTTTTGGGCGAAACCTTGTCCTTGAAATTTTGCAAGGTGCCTGAGGCTGCAGCAGGGCATTGTCTAGATTTAGGGTTCCACGAGTTTTTAGGGGTGCCTGTCTCGCTGCATGCATGCACAATTAGGGGTGATGTACAGCGGCAGTCGGGGGAACAAAAGTTTGTTGGCTCCACTCGTGTCTGCATCCAATCGGACGGTTTTGGTGAAAGAAAGCCTAGGTGGCGTCCAGATGGCAGTACAAATCCGTGGAAGATTGAGAACCGTTAGATGATCTTTTGGAAACATCACCACCCTGATTAGCTAAACATTGCATCACAAGTACCTAGACACTAGGTAGTACCAGTAGAGCGGGGTCAAGGAGAATCAGTAATTTCAGGACCGGGGCCGGGGACATTGTTGGAAGGGCTGACGTGGCGAGGTTTTAGGGTTTTGACCGGGGCCTTCCTACTCATGATTGGCCGAATAGAGCCTATAGCGCCCAGGGTTTCGCCCCTAAACCTCGCCACGTCAGCCCTTCCAACAGCGTCCCCGGCCCCGGTCCTGATTCTCCTTGACCCCGCTCTAGTAGTAGAGGCTAGACTCAGCTAGACTCCGGCCGAGACTCTGAGCTCAGGCTGTAGCCGCATCTGCTCAAGGCAAATTGGTGGGAGCAAGGTTGAAGGTGGTTAAGGAGTAAAGAGAGCACACAAAGAATCTAGAAAGCTTCATGCGGCGCTCAAGGTCCTGCATTGTTGCACTGTTTGTCATTTGTAGATTTGAAAAGCAACATGGCAGCCACTGCAAACGTCAGAGCTCCGGCGCTTATAGTGAATAGCCTTGGGGAAGAAAGTTTGAACCGGAGACAGTGTTGCGGGGCAGCCGCAATTGCAACATCTCCTCTACTGTGTGCTCCTAAGAAACCTGCAAACCTTGTAAGAAAGAAAACTTTTCTAGAAGGAGCTGCGTTTTCCTCAACTTTCCAAGCTGCGAAGCTTAGCTTACCCCAGAGAACTTATGCACGCAATGAGCGGGGAAAAGTGCTTGCTCAGGCAGCGGCGGACGGGCCTTCAAAAGCAAAGGAAATTGACGAGCCTGTACTTGTTGTTGGCGCTACAGGGGGCGTGGGTGAGTCCTTGAACAATCGGTGTACTTCAAGCTTCTTCTGATACTTGTTTTGCCCTCATCTGGGCCTGTTTTTTTTGTATTTCTTTGAGAAGGTGCTATTGTGTTCTTGTGCTATTTTTCTGTCACAATAAGTTTTACTTTGTTCTTTATACACAGCAGCAACGTAGGAAGTGCTTTGAGGTCCAGATTCACCAGTCATGTGTGCCAAATGTGTTTCCAGAGATGTCGTGGGAAAGCATAGTGTGCCCAGACCAGTATCTGGTCACTAACAGAGGGTTTGAGCGACCCTGCATTTGTTTTGCTGAAATGGTGCAAGGGGCAATCAAGAGCGCTTTCTTCAAAAGTATAATCTGTTGAAGGAGTATCGGCGCTGCAGTGGGTTGATTGTCTGCTGTCACTCACTTTCTTGTGCGCTCAAATGTCTTTCTCTTCTGTGAACAACAGGTCAGATTGTTGTGTCATATCTCCTGGACCGCGGACACCAGGTCAGGGCAGTCCTGCGCAATAAGGAGAAAGCGGAGCAGATCTTTGGCCACGAACACGATGATCAGCTGGAGGTGAGGCAGGCCACTGTCTTGGGAAGATTGCCCAAGGGAGGATGTCACAAGTGAAGGCTAGGCTTGGGGCACTGCCAATCCATTTTTGGGTGACCAGGACATTCGATAGAGTTCAGCGGAGTCCAACAGAGTCCAGCCTTCAAAGGAAATGGTCAGGAGTCTTACGCAAGAACCGTATTTGTGTTTACCTTGCCGAGTACTGACCCAATACAAGTGAGGCTCTGATACAACCACTGCAATCTGCCGCAATTCCGTGTTGGTGGCGTGTTGTCACCATGTTTTGTTTCGAGTGCAGCTGAAAATGGAAACGCCCTTGCTTCTCCTGTTCTATCCACCTTTCTGAAACTCGCGTGTGGGACCTGCAGCTTTAAGAGATATATCATTCATTTGCAGATGTTTGTCGCTGACACAAGACATCCAGACACACTTCGACCGGAGATCTTTGAGGTGAGGCCCCGGCTTACCAGGAGTCTTTTGCTAGGATCTCAATGTAGATCCTGCAGGCATGTTGCAAGTATCAGACTTCGAAGTCTGATTCATGTCTGCTTTTAATTCTTGAAAGGCAAATAGTGCTCTCACAGAGATTGCTGTTTTTGCAGGGTGTGGGCTCTGTGATTTGCTGTACTGGGACCACAGCCTTCCCGTCGAAACGATGGGATGGAGGCAAACCAGAGGAGACAGGTGAGTTGCTTGTGAAACTAAGAATGTGTTCAAGCGACTTAGAGAAAGCAGTCGAAGGATTCAAGAGGTGGCTCTCTGGTGCTGTGTTCTGCCTCACGCTTTCAGTGGTTCTTGCCAGATGGAGGCCGATTGTGTGAAGCTCCAAACTGGACCACTGGGTCTTGCGTAAATGCTTTGAACCTCTTAGAAAGGGGTTTCTTGGGACGTTGAGAGATGAGATCTCTCGTGTGAGTGAGTACGGCGTGGTCAATCTGAACCAACCACTGACTTTCGAACCGGATCTCTGGCCCTCTGCAGATTACCACGGCTTTAAGAACCTGCTAGAGAAGACCCCGAAGTCGATCAAGAAGTTTGTGCTGGTCTCGTCCGTTGGAGTGGAGAGCTACAATTCGTTCCCTTACAAGTAAGTCGTTGGCCCTCTCAGGCTAGTGGAAAGCGACTGCTTCTCTACGACCTTCTGAAGAAGCTCGATTCTCTAGGTGTCTTCCTGGGAAGGGGGGACATTCCAGTTAGAATGAATTCCTGCATCGATCTTCTTTGGGACGCAATCATTGCCGATGGCAGGGAGTATCTTCTAAGATGCGATATTTCAAAGGGAATGCGTAAACTGCAATAGAGAAAAGTCTTTCTGAGTTCCGTCTCAAACCCGAAATCGGTGCTTGGACGTAATCTGACGCCTCTTGCTCAGCATCCATGGCCGGTCGTCGCTTGTTGTTCGGCTCTGGATCGGGGCCGGTCAACAAATCGCTTTCGCCCTTGCTTGCAGCATTCTTAACCTATTCGGCGTGCTTAAGTGGAAGAAGCTCGGCGAGGAGATGCTGGAGAAGTCGGGACACCCGTTCACGATCATCAGGTGAGGACTTCGTCAAGCAGATAACGCCACTGCTCGCCTTGCCATTCAAAGGCGATCCGATGGCTTCGACTCGTTTGTGGAAGCACTTTGCAAGCCTTCCGGTATGTCCAGCTCCGACCTTCCGCACATCTTCTCCGTAGTGTATTGAATGTCCGGTCAGCAACTCGAGAGCGAGTTTGCTACCTTTGCTCGACTCGAAGGTAAGTCAAGTGATGCACTGCCCCAATTTCTCGTCAGTTTGAAACATCGTCACTCTTATTCGTTGACGGCGAGTTATCCTCACGCTAACTTCGACGACTGCGACTCGTGCAGGGCGGGTCGGCTAATGGACGGTCCATACACGTCGTACGACTTGAACACGCTCCTCAAGACAGCCAGCGGCACAAGACGAGCGGTCATTCTAAGCAAAGGTAAGCGGTCATTCTGCGGACAAAAGAAGCCAATGCGTTTCTCCGGTGCACGGGATGGCGGATGCCCAAGGGTTCGCGGATCGACTGCGGATCCTATTGAGTGAAAGTACGACGCAGACGCCAGGGACGAACGTAAAGCTGGAAAATGACTTTCTTCATTGCCTGATTTTGCGTCTGAGTGCAGGGGACAAGCTCCGTGGGGAGGCCAGCCGGCTGAGCGTAGCCGAGGCCTGCCTGCAAGCACTGCAGCTGGAGTCGACCAACGGGCACATCTACGAGATCAACAGCGCTGAGGTAAGCGAGCATGGTCCAAAGCTCCGCTATCTTGCAAAGCGTTGTTCTTTGTCTCTGCGCTTCCAGCTTCAAAGTCAGCTTGCGAGAGGTCTTGACATGGTTTTGGAGGCCGGTTGTGGGAGTTTGTCGAACAGCAGAGGGCCTCGAAGTATTCTGCAGCTCGGTGTCGCTCTGCATGCGGAGGGATGCTTCGTAAGACCCGATTGAAGGCAGAAAAGGGACGTGGTACCTCGGGGAGAATGTAGTTTCTGCTGGCCCAGCTGCTCCTCTGTTTGACACATAATTGCCTATTAGAATTTCGGGCTTCTGACCGACCAGGAGACACAAAAGATTCAAAAGATTGCGTACGACCCCTACCCCTAACCATACTTCCCGAGTGAAGGCGAGGACCGAAATAAGTCTGAAGACACCATTGATACTCTTTGCAGGGTGACGGCCCCGGCACGGATTCGGAACGATGGGCCGCTCTCTTTTCAGGGGCCGAACGAGTTGGACAAGCCAAGAGTTGAGACGTGTTTTGTGGGCAGTCCCTCCCGTGTTGAGTAGAAAATCAAAAAGTAAACTAGACTTGTGTTCGTGTTGTATTTTTTAAGAACTCACACTGAGCCGACGCGTGCGATTTGCAGCCCACTGCGACCTGTTCAAATTTTGACGTGATTGACCTTGGTCCAGGTTTCCAACTTCGTGAAACTCGAGCACTCGACCAGTAGCAGCTTGATGGGTGTGTATTGACTCACTGCTCAATAATAATTATTGTTGTAAGGTCGATTATGCCAGATAGTAAGTTCCACTGCATGTAGTTGATGTGTCGACGTGAAGGTGACGGACCTCCCCATGGTGGTCGACGATATGTGTGGGAGAACGTATATGGCCGGCCGGGCATGTCGAATGCCCCAGCCGCCTCGGCCCAATGGACAACTTGGCCACGTTCCGGATCTATGCGGCGGCGGCCCGCGACGTCTGATGACGGTGCGGCGCAGGTATGATGGGTCATGCCAGCTACGCATGCCAGTGCCGCGTAAAGCAATGAACCTGAACATTTATCGCAGCTCACATGAGCTTGCAGTGAGCATGCTGGTTTATAGAATTGCTTCGATGTGACCAGCATGCAATCGAGCTGCATGCACATTGATCCACTTCAAGATCAAATCATATCCTTGTTTGGTTGTACAGAATGCACCACGATGTTACAGCCAGTATACGCGTCTTCGAACGTACGGGACCGACTCTATTTGAGTGCATGGTCACTTTCGGGTTATCATTCGCCGTCATCATACCGTCACCTTAAATGATGCACGCGAAATGATCCAATTCAATGAAGTTCCCTCGCCCCGAAGGATCCGCCGTCATGCACTGCATGTACATAACAGCTACTGTCACTGCAGACTCGTGCGGGCTTATCATAGTATCAGATGTTGGGGATCAGGACACCGTAAAGAAAATGAAGCCAGCCCCTATTGACGTGTAACCTAAACTATGTGTCCAGACAATAGTGCTGGGATTGTTAGTTTGTGAAGCTGCAACCTAACATTCTAAGCGTCTGAATGACTGGCTAGGCCTGAACAGAAGATTCCAAGTTGCTGCTTCGTCACGATTTGTGGTACGTCAAAACCCTTGTGACTCATGAAGCACAAGTCGACGAAGGAGACGCATTTCTGAAGCATGTGCATGCGAAGCCCTCTCCACAGACAGTAGTAGATTGGTATTGCCTCGAAAGAAGGAGTGAAGGCCTTGGTAGGTTTGAGAAAAAGAAAGATTCTCACGGGGTGTCGGCGGCCAGTTTCGAACCCGCGACCAAGGACCCGGGTCGCGGTTTGCGTTCGACGACCAGCATGCTAGTTTACGAGGGGGTGTGTTGCTACACCGACAACCGAGAAGGCTGCTTAAAGATACATGTAGCTTATCTTCCTGCGGTAACGTCACCTCAACGTCAATTCGAACACGTGGACTGAACAAGTCGACTTTCTGCCAATATTGCCACCGCAAAGCAACAAAGGCATCCCGTCTAGACGAAGCTGGAGATCAACGCTAGAAAAACTGGATACGGTGAACAAAAGCATCTGGAAAACCTCGTGAAGCATACAAGTTGACGAAGGAGACGCTGTCTGTGAGTCCTCTCCAGAAAGATCATCACATCATCACATGCTTTCGAAGCTGTTCTGAAAACAGACACTGATTTACGATGACTTACGCTCTAGCTGCGGCGACTAAGCTTCAAAGATCCAAAAGGTTTTCGTCATAGGGTGTCGGCGGCCAGTATTGAACCGGCGACCAAGCGCGCTTTGTGTCCGACGACCAGCATGCTTATTCACGAGGGGGTTTGTTGCTACACCGACAGCTGAAAAGGCTACTCAACATTACATGTAGCACTCTTGTTGTGGTAACGTCACCTGGACGTCATCTTCGAAGATCGGCAGAGAGTCGACCCTGCTGCGCTTTGATGGGCAAGAACGTGAGGTCATCGTGATGGAACAAATGGGGAAAAAACCAGCCAGCCCGTCTCGAAGCGTGACGAAGCTGCAGACAAAATCCCCCAAGGCCGAAGAACTGGACAAAAGCTTCCGAGATGCTGCGCAGTAAGTCTTAGTATGGCTGGTCGTAATCCCTTTTCTGTCGCGTGAATACACAAGTCGACGGATTAAAAACCGCTTTTGGAGCAGTGGCACGCGATGCCCTCTCCAAAAGGATCATCGAATCAGTCTTGGGCACAGCCTTTCAGAGTTGGTTATAGAAGGATTTGAAGATGACGTCAAGGTGACGTTACCACAGCAAGCTGGTTGCTACATGTATTTCTAAGCAGCCTTCTCAGTTGTCGGTGTAGCAACAAACCCCCTCATGACTCAGCATGCTGGTCGTCGAACGCAAATCGCGACTGGGGTACTTGGTCGCGGGTTCGAAACTGGCCGCCGACACCCTGTGAGGATGATCACCTTTTTGGATTTACGAGCTTAACCGAACTCATAGCTAGAGCACCCAATGGCCTGCCAAATGGGATCAGGACATCGCGAATTAGGGACCTAATATTGGCAGCCCTACTTGTCATATCCTATCGAGAACATCGAGACGTGAGGTTAAATTGCGGCCGATACATGGCTAGAAAAGACAAGGCCTTACTTATACATATGAATGTCAAGGACTGTTGAGCCACCTCAGATAAGGCATGCACGACTCCGGAAAGCTGAGGCGGCCCTCTTTCCTTAAGTGACCGTACCAGGCGCGTGCCCGCCAAAAGCGCGGGGCTATGATTTCATGGTGCAACGAAATTTCAGAATGACGAGCAGCTCAAGACGAGTACACGACTAAACAGCCTCCGCCTTCTTGCGACGCAGTATTATCATCATCCCCCAACACGGTTCATATATTATTCTTTCCAGCGTGGCCGGGATGCAGTCACCATGATCTGCCGTGACATTTGCTACGAGTCTTTATCTCCTTCCCGTCGTTCTGCAACTTGCAGTCGTTTTAAAGGAAATCGAACCGCAAAACCGAGACATTTTTCACCATCTGGTATGCTTTAGCGGATTACCTCGTAATTTCAAGTTGCCAGTGGTCACTCCTCATTGCCGACTTTATGCACGGGTTATGCACCGTGCTTGCGTGCGTGCGACTGCGGCCGTGTTTTGGTACCAGAGGCCGGAAAAGCGTGCTGAAGACGATTCAGCCCTATAAACGGTTGCTCCGCCGCATTCTTCAAGAAGAAGCATAATTTTTTCGGAAAGAATTATGCTATAATCTGAATATCCAGTCAGAACTTCCGTGTGCAGCAGCTAAGCCCGCGCGCGCGCCGGGCCCCGGCCGTGACCCGCCAAACCGCGCCAGCACTTAACCCTTCGTACGCCTGCTCAGTGGAAGGCGCGGCCGCCTACGCCCCGCAGGAGTTCGGCCGGAGCTGGGAACAGAGTGCGTCCGAGGCTTGGCCGGAAGGTCTCGAAGATGGCGGAGCTGGAGCAGGCTGCGGTGGCAATGGCAGAGAGCCTAGAATTGGAGGCTTACAAACTGGACGTTTCCATGGAGCTTAAACTCGCCACAGGTCCAGGAACAAGCGCTGTTGGAGTCGGCAATAACGATGGCCACGCACCAGAGCATGCTTTCACCTCTTTCTACAAGTGGCGCTGCCTGGGTCCAGAGGACTGTTTCGGAAATTTAAGCTCTCCTCTCCAAGGCCTGCGCCGCATGAATTAGCGGCAATTTTGGGGATCTTAACTTGCCGGGACAACGATCAGGGGTTCTGGGTGACTTACGAAAATTGCGCAAACATCGAGAGCACCTTGGACTCGGTTTCTGCACAGAGTCGTCAAGGAAAGGTGGCGGTTGGTCGTCATGGTGGCTGGAAAGTCTGCTGTCTGATATCTTGCATCTTGGAAGTGGGAATCAAGTTCACGGGTTCCCTGACGGTAGACATCGCTCAGCAGTTTGGCAAGCTTTCAATGAGAGTCAGGCATTGAAAACTTCCTTACTTGAGAATGCAGAGATAACTGGCGACCTGAATCTAATCTGCAAGGTAAGGTCCTCGTAAGGTCGCGGCAGGAGAAGAAGCTTGGCCCCCCTTTTGGGGTCCCTTTTGGGGTTCTTTGGAGCACTGCAGTCCGGCATTGGTCAACGGCTTGGTGAAAGTGCTTCATGTAGAGCAATGGCGTGAGCGTGACTTGACTTGTGACGAAACTACAGCTCATTTTGTGCCGATCAGCGCAGGGGTTGGTTGAGCTTCCAAGATTCCACTTTTCAGGCAATCTGCGTTCTTTGGCAGGAAGGTGCAAAAGTCCCGGCGCATTCTGCCGTTCTGGCCAGCTTTCCCTACTTCGAAGCAAAGCTGAAAGAAGACTGGTCAGGACCCGGTTGGAACCTCAACAAGAAGCTGGACCTCCATCTTCCCTGCGCGGTGAACAAAGAAGTAATTCAGGCTTTCCTCAAATATGCATTTGGAGACGTCTGGTCTTTGACGCAGCTCGAGTCATCTGACGCCACGATACTACAGGTAGGCAGACCTTTCACAGGTCAGAAGGGGTTGCCAAAAAAAAGTCCTGTACTGTCTAATTTCTATATTTGGGTCTAGTACTCTCTGCTAGACGTGTTTGCAAAACGAAGGTTACTGCAGGCTAGAGCCAGTCTGAGGCCGGAAATTTTTCTTATCCACCAAACGTTGGACTCAGTATTTCCTACTTCCACGATTAGTCTTTGTTTCATCTGTTAAGAGATCCTAGAAAAAGGGTCAATCAGGAACATTCCTCACGTTCAAAGCCTCTGTTCTCCATTCGCAAGCTGGCGTTTGGGAAGAGTTCGGTTCAAAGTCTCGTGAAGAAGTCAACATGACATTTTGATCCAAGTACTTGAAATGTCTCTGTCTGCATACGCACAATTCTTTGTTCCGTCACATGCGCTACATTTGCACTCGACAACATCAATGGGCCCACAAAGCAGGGCACGATATTTTATGAGATGCAAACATCGAGACGTCATTATTACGAGATGAGAGAGGGCTTCCGGGAAAGAGAAACCCAGAATTTTGTATCAACTCCTCTCTCATTGTCCTCGTCAGGACCTGTTCTCTCTGGGTGAAGCTTGCGGCTTGCCTACCCTGTGCTCAGCCATCTCAGAACAGTTGCTCGTGACGGCGCCATCCGCGTCCTCGTGGCTCGAGTGGCTGTCACAGGAGCATGGATACGACGTCAGCAAAATCCGTGAGAAGGTCAAGCAGGCAGTCAAGAAGAGGTTCCGGACGGACGACTTGTGGGATGGCTTGACCGTAGAGCAGCTGCAGAGCCTCGAGGAGGTCGCAAAGAAGCTGAAGCCGGCATGAAGCTGACAAAGTGTTGCCACAGAGCGTCCATTTACAGCAATGAGGTTGCTGAGACTCTGGAAGCGTGCCAGCTGTTCGTGCAATCAACTGCGTTTCGCGTCCGATCGGCGCCGGGAATGCATCTGCATACAGCCTCTTCATTCTGCTTAATTCAAGAGAAAGACTCCAAGGGATTCAGTCAAAGCTTTTGGATAGCACTGTATACCAATTCGCAACGCGCGCCACATACAGCGCAGCTAGCCTGTATATCTGTCAACTTGGTTGGGACAATCTTGCAACGCATCGGACACAAGCTCTATAATTGATCATGCATCGGCCGCAGACCCGCGATCTCACCAACGTAAGTGCAGGAGTCTAGATGCAATAGGTTAGAAAGTTTTTCGGCGACTTTATTGGCATATGGCATGCAACGACGTGCAGCAATCGATTATGTGACTCATAACATCATAATGGACCGGCCAGCCGCGGTAACATATGCTTCGATCTAAGAAGCGTGGCGCTTTCAATGGCCCGTCGCTGAGATATGTACGTCTAGCTTACCCCGATTCTGCATGTGCTGCATAATCCCATTATTTCCTGCCAGGGCAGTTACTCATAGCCAGTGAGTCCGACACGTTGCATCATACCCTTAATTCCGAAAAGCACCTGAGTGTCCGGACGCACAACGTGCGGACAAGGTTGAAAACGCCGTAATAGCGGAAGGCCAGTTCTGCATTGAGACGCCTCAGTTGGGATATGACAATTACGATCCGCTTCAGTGAATGTGGGCCCAGCCAGCCTTAATGTCTCCAACAATGCATTGCATATCACCCAACAGCTTTATATGCAACAGCGAGCGGCTAGTACTCTCTACAGGTAATCATCTCGCGCCTGTGCCTCTTAAATGACCGGATCCAGCATAAGCTGCCGCTTGCAACAGGCTGGACCTGCCGTTCTAAGTTCTCGGTTGGACCCCACCAGACTCGACTATTTGTCCTCTTAATTGCGTCCCGCTGTTAAAACCTAAGCCGCTGGTGAAGTTAAGCTACTACTTGTGCGCAGCCTCAGCATCTCGCCCCCAACAGGCGTCTCTGACTGCGAGTCCCCGTGGAAGATGGGCAGGGGTATCTTAATTAACCGGATCCAGCATAAGCTGCCGCTTGCAACAGGCTGGACCTGCCGTTCTAAGTTCCCGGGTGGGACCCCACCAGACTCGACTAATCGTCCTCTTAAACTCTTCTCACTCTGTTGTTCTAAGCCGCTGGCGAAGATAAGCTACTACTTGTGCGCAGCCTCAGCATCTCGCCCCCAACAGGCGTCTCTGACTGCGAGTCCCCGTGGAAGATGGGCAGGGGTATCTTGAGCTTTTCTAGGTGGAAAAGGTGGCCCCGGGTGCGCCGGCAGAAGACAGTGTACAAAACGGCGGCGGAGGACACCATGAAGAAGGAGACGGCGATCAGGATGCCAAAATCCTGGACAACAGGGATTTTAGAAGTCAGAGCTGTGCACAGGTTGGAGAGCTTTGACCCCAGAAGGAGGACGACTTCGCGGGAAGCAGAGGCACGCTCGTACCGTCAACTTCGCGCACAAAAAGCACAACAAGACGACAGCCAGGGCACGAGCGCTGCGCAGCAGATGAAGAGGCCGTATGCTGAGTAAGGGGGGCCCATAACGGGACTCGATACAACTGAGACCGCAAGACACAAATGATAAACGGCAGGAGGCACGATTTCGGTAGCCAGTCGACGTTCTTTCTTACTCGGGGGTGGCTGATCAGGATCCCGGCCAGGTAGGAGGCAGTGCTCATGATCTCTTGCAGGGAGCTCTGGACGCCGCCCACGACTCCCCGGTCACACTCGGGGATCGACTCCTGCAGGGGTGGCAGCGCAGATAAGCGGGAGTGACGGAAAGCGTACGCTCTCGAAAGTCAGGCCTCGACCTGGTGGGATCCTTCGAAATGATTGGAATTCGAAGAGGCTGCCTCGTGAGATGGCACGCCGGATTGGAAAAGCAATCTGGACTCCGATCATGTAAGATCCGTCAAAGCGGCGCCAAGCGTGACAGGCGCGGAAGCCATTACAGGCCGGATCAAACGGTAAAAATGGTTGCATATGAGTACAAGTTCTATCGAGGACGGTCTTTGAACACCGCCGTTTGGGACAAACCCTTAAGTATTGGTTTGCGCGTAATTCGCGGTCAACGGCTGGTAACTCGGCTGATCACAACCTTGCTCCTTTGAACGAGATCCCCCAGACTAGGCTCTCACAAGCAGGCACCACGACAAGAGCTCAATTGACAACTAAGTTCACTCACAAACCGACGGGTTATGTCGTCAACTTCTTCCGTTGAATGTCTCCTTGCAATGTCTAGGCGACGACTTGAGCTTTTTCGTCGATCTGACTGGCTGCCGAGGGCCTTCGGACGCGAATGAGACAAAAACTCTTTGCGCTTGGACGCTGCATGCTTGGTCATGCACACCGATCGAACAGACCCCGGACCGTCTTCCGGATTAATGTCACTTCTCTCACGTTTCGAGCCTAGGGAATCGCAACGGAACGACGTCCCGTACCTGCATGAGCTGCGTGACGGAAAGGTCGAAGAGCCACAGCCCGAGGCGGGAGCATGTGACGCCAGCGATGAGCAGCCAGGACGAGAGCGTCTGGTTCGCAACCCAAATCGCGACCAGGCAAGGCAGAAGGAACGTCCACTGCAGACGGACAGAGCTAGGTAAACCGTGGTTCGGCAGGTTTTTCTGCTACCCAATCAGGCGTGGTGTCTTCTCCTCACCAGGTGACGACAAGAAAGCCTGAAATGCCTCCGTGGAAGTTGACTCCTCTCGGTAGAATGACGATGACGGTTTTGTCGCTCAGTAGTTTGATTATCGATGAAACAACATTCATGCTGCGGTGTTTTGAAGCCGTCTCAGGAGGTGACGTGCTGCCTCATCTGCACCCTTGAGAGCTATAGCAGCTTTCTTGTCAAAGCTACGTTGATGGTCTTACGTCCTCGACTTTCCGTTTTCACGAATCCTACTCGCCTCTCTCCAACAAAATCCACACAGTTGACGCAAAACGGTTCCGCCCTTCTCTTGCCATCAAATCGGTGTCTTGCGTCCAACAACCATCATCCTGCAGCATCTAACCTCTCTTACACGGACTTTAAAAAGAACGAATCGAAGGACGCAAAAGCCGTCGAACCCACCTGCAACCAGATAGCGCGCAGCCCGGTCCGGAGGCCCTGTACCCGCCGATGCCACACTGGGTAGCACACTGTTGCTACTATCCCAACCAGGGCCGCCACGGCGCGAGCAAGGCCCAGCGTGAAGGGAGAGATGCCGCGCCAGCTCAGCACCGCCGTCATCATGGAGCCGAAGCTGCGGGGCACGGAAAACTGATATAGGTATGACAGAAAGCTGACGTTACGACGAGTAAATTCACAGGATTGGGAGGCGACGAAAGGTGGAGAGATGAGAGAAGGACGAACCGGTTTCCAATCTTGGGGACATTGGAACATTACGAAGAGAGGGGCCTTCAAACAGTACGTCTGCCATTCTCTTTCAGGAGTATTGACGATGTTTGTGCGTCGGTGTCTGGAGTGGGTCGGAAGAGCCCGTGCTTCCTGTATTGCTAGGTACAGTATCGTCGGCTATCTGACGCTAAGTGACGAAAAGTCGAGCACCCCGGCTGAGTGGCCCCAGGTTGAGAGCTTCAACGCTAACTTTGCTTGTTGTCCGGAAAACAGCTGATATAATAGATTCTTCAATCAGTTCAGCACGATAAGGCGTGAGCAGAACAGCTTTAAAATTTCACATACCCCTTAAGGATGGTGTCTCGACTTGCAAGAAGAAAACTCTGACGGGTAGATTCGGGGGCCTCAAAGAAGCAGTCACAATCTCTGCGAACACAATCCACGCCTGTAAAGTAAGAAAGCTTGTACACCATATAAAGGCAAGCAGTGGTTTCTGACCGTATCTTGGGTGTCTCCTCACCTAAGAACGGTGAAGTAGAGCAGCGCCAGCGCGACCCCTGCCAGCGCTGTCTCCTGCTTTGCGTACAGGCGCCATCCGCTCGCAAAGCTCCGCAGCGGCGTCAATATGTCACTTAGTCCGCTTCTAACCACCTCTAACCACCGTGCCCGTGACTCCCCCCTCAGTCTCGAAAGACCCGCTTCACTATCCGGCGCTTCCTCTTCGAGATCCCCTGCTTCAGAATCGGGCTCTAGGGCAGAAGAAGTTCGCTCGGAACTCAGGACCGCTTTCTCTGACAGTGCCGGCACCTTTTGGTAGACAATGTGCAAGAAGTAGTACTCTCCAAACGTTGAGAGAGCATTCCAAACGGCGATGAACACGGCTGCCGAGATGGTGGACTTGAGGCTCATGAGGAGACCGGCCGCGACGGGAGCCAGCAACTTGCAGCTGAGATCGATGCGGCGCATAGTCGAGTTGAGAGAGGAGAGGACGGTGCCCCGCATGGAAGGGACCGCTTGGCTGCTCACCACCACTACCCTGAGAGGAGCCGGGACAGGATTGCTTAGAGATTAACATACATTGGCTATCTCTCATGCATGTTCCTCGGCTTGATTTCTCTGAAACGCTTCCTTTCTTCTATGCAGGGCAGATTGCCGCGGCACTATCCAAAGGCTAGTCTCAAGTATATTAGAAGCTTGTTCAGAAGATGCAAGCGTCAGGTTGTGGCTGATGACTTTGTGCAGCAAGCAATGAGTGGCACTTCAACGCAAACCTCTGCGACTCAGGACGACTCAGGATTTAGACAAGTCCTTGAGCAGAGTACACATCAAGTTCTCTGTCTGAACATAGAATTGGCCACAGTAGGCGTCAACGTTCAGCAGAAGATGAACTGAGTCACAAAATGGCACCCGAGCTGAATGAGTGGGGTTAGCAGATTGAGAAAAGCTGTATCACTTACCAGTCCCGCTCGACTGCGATGTTGTTTGCGAGCCCTGCAAGGGCCTGCACCCCTCCCAGAAGATTGACCAGGAACACTAGAGAGATAAAAGCAGGGCCCTGCGGTGCAGATTCCAGCAAGAGCAAGATGACGCCAACTGCTGCACCTATCATGGATGCGTTCTGGATAGCAATAGAGAGCCGCACCACCTGCAAGGGAAAGGTGTTGTGTATAAAGTCTCCCAGAACCCACCAGACTCTAGTATGTCGTCATCAGTCGTCAGTTACTTCCTCGGCCCAATGATCTCCATATGGCGGGAAGATTCGCTCAATCAAATACTCTCATGCACTGCAGATCTGCCGAAAACACATGAACTGATTCTCCAAGTCACAGTTCCCATGTCACAAACTCACAACTTTATGAAAAAGCCGCAGATAAGTTGTGATTAAAGGAGAAAAGCAGGGCGGAATGAGGCTTTCATGAATCCAAGTGATGTAAGTACCTTCATGCGTGGATTGCGGTCAACCCACTTGCCAACAAAGACCCCAAAGACAGCCACGGAGCTTGCTTCCACGAGGCCATACAGGGCCGTCAGGATTAGGGAGTCCTTCCATATTCTGATCATGAAGAGGGCAACCGCAAACTCCCACATCCTGCATGGAGGATAGGACACTTGAGCAGGATGCACTTTACTGAGTGTATTTGAACGTCAGAAGTTTTAGGAAAGATGCTTTCCAGAATTGATTATTGCCAGGACAGAGAAACAGTCAAGCACATAATCGAAGTGGCAGGGAAGATAGCATGATGCAGACGACATGTCTAAGGCCTATCAAGTGAAGGAAGAAATGAGCGCAGCCGTTGAGTCCGTTACTGCATTGTACACTCTTGATGTGAGATGAGCTTAGGTAGAAGCCGGGTGATATGATGCTATTAAATGCTGAGGACAGCAAACGACTTCGATGTCACCATCCCAAACAGGGAGAGCGCTTACCTGTCGCCCCATCTTGACAAAAAGTGGCTGCAGTACATATGGCGTGCCACCAGCCATATAGTCCTTTCCTCCAGCTCCCCATCTTCAGGTTCGCTTCCGACCAGTGAAGGATCAATACGGTTCGCTGGAGCTTTTTCATGGCTGGTGTTCCAGCTGCCCGGTGGCTCCGCTTCATCATCTTGTCTGCTCAAATGAGGCAACAGCTCGACTTGTTCTTCTTTGGACGCCATCATATTTTCCGCATGACAATGCCACCAGCACTATGGCCAGTGATCCTAATTGGTACTGTGGAGGGAAAACATTCAACGGTTGGCCCAAGAGAGGACGAAAGGCGCATGCCCCAATGGAAGGAAGCAAAGCATGGCTCTCAGACGAATGATCTTGCATGTCGTGGCAGCTCAGCTACGACTGCAAGCTCACCTTGTTGACCGCTCAATTTATCTGCCTGATCCCTAGCCGTTTCTCGAGACGGTGGCTTGTAACGCAATTGGTACCAGTAGTATCAGGCAGATCGCCCGATTTTGAGAATAGCAGAGCATGCGTGAAGGACGCTTTTTTAGCGAGTTTATAGCTTTAGCTATAACGAAGCTGTCGGATTGACCACCGGACTTGCAGATGGGGCAAAAAAAAGTTTTATCCGTCGTCTTCACAGGAGCCGTGAGCTGGGGTATCAAATTTTTACGCGTCTCTGTTCGATGGGGCAATTTTTTTTTGTCGTTTAGTGCCGCCAAACCTTTTTTTTCTGGCCAGTTGGACGACAAAACGCTTTCCAGGTTGAACATTATGCTAGCATTTTCAGGGCATGCTTCCCGGTTGCGTTCGATAGATAGGGTGTATTTAGCCTAAAATTAGGTAAGTTTAGTGTAAGTTTAGTCACGTCACCAGATTAATTGACGTCATCTAAGAGAGTGGCTGTGACACGTGGAAGAATCTAGCGCGTCCGATGGAACCTGTCCGGTGGTTCTACGGCTCGATGATCACCCCTGCTCTATCTTGGCGGCTGCTACTGCGGAAAGATGTTCGATGACGTCAAAGCAATAGCTAAAGTTTAGCTAAAATTTAGTATCTAAATAGACCCTATCTATCGATCGCAACCGGGAAGCCTGCCCTGAAAATGCTGTATGCTGTGTGCATGTCGGGCAATCTGGGCCCGTACTTTTAGACCGTATTTCTTTTCCCATGCAGAAAGAGTGATCGGTAGGTCCCTGATATTGCGGCCAAGAACGCACGTTCATGTATGGACTCCCGGTCACGTTTTTAACTTTAGGGGGCAATTTCAGCCCGCATAATTCAGGCTGTGGTCGGGGTTTCACGCGCGCGCGCAAAATACACCTAAGATCAGTGGAAGGCCAGGAATGGTTGGGGCCATCGGACGGGACCTGCCGATTGAAAGCAGGAAATGTGATTCGCCGTCAGATTTGTAGCTGCTTTCCATCGACGGCTTGGGGGGCGGCCATAGCGACCGCCGACAATCAAGAATTCTGCCCGAATTCTGCAGGCGCTAAGTGCCAGGGGGTAATTCTGCCCGGCGCGGGAAAACAGCCCCCCAGTTGCATGGGCACTAACAAATTATTTTAATCTATTAATAGCTTCTACTATAAGCGGCCGGGTACCTTGAAATCGACTTGCCATGAATCTACAGAACGGTAAACCCTGTAAGTTTACGACCTTCCAGGTAGCTATTCATAATTTTAATCTCTACCCGCATATAGGGTCCCTAAATTGCATATATTGCACTATGTATACCTATAAACGAGCTCCAAAACCGCGTTCCGCGGTTTCTCAATTTTTTTTTTTTTTTGTGGTATATTCTGAGCACACCGAGCTCATCAGGTGGAGCATCGGGACTGCTATACGCGTAAACCGCGAATTGGAGAGCTTTTGTCGCTTCATTTCCGGTAGAGTGTATGGTCAGTTAGATCGGTCTCAAGCGTGGGGGTATAAGTGTATTTCTTGAGCGTGGCCGTTTATGCGACCAGCTGAGGCCTCGGCTTCCTCCTGCCTGAGCTGGCATTGGCACTGGCAGAGCACTGTCACTGTCAGTGTCAGTGTAATCTTTAGTGAGCTTTGCTTGCTCAGAGCGCACAGGGCGCAGCATTGGGTCCTGTGCAGACAGCTGGGTGGTGACAGAAAAAGGGGCGGGAGGGCGGATCAGGTGGGTGAGGCTTGCTCTTGGCTGAGATCCTCCTGGATCAAAGCCCACATTGCTGGGGAGAAAGAAGTCTGAGATCAAATGCGCTGGTGGGCGCCTGGGGCGTTTGGGCTTGCAACTAGTTCCTCCATCAAAGGGATGTTGGGTGGCTGCTCTTTTAAGCTTATTGGTTGGTCTTTGACATGTACAGTCTTCAAAAAGTAGTGGTAGGTTGTCTCGCTTCCGCTTCAGGTGGCAGGTGCACATGTCAGCCGTGGTGTTAGCAGTGACCTCCTCTTTCTTCGGTTGAGTTTGGGGTTTGGCATTGCAATGGCTGTGCTGGATCACCGCGGGGAGATCACGGCATCGTTTCTTTGACCTGTGGTTTGTATGCCCAGGCAGATCTGGTCTACCCGCTGCTGGGGGCGGCGGCAAGTCAGGATTGTGGTGACTGGGGTGCCGGAGGGTTTGGGGAGGAGGCTCGATGGCCTGGGCAACATGAGGAGTAGTGGCCGGTGCAGTTCCCTCATCTTGGGACAGTAGAATTGGCTGCTGTTGGCGGCTTGGCTGGTGAGTGAAGAGAGTGGTGGTGAGTTCCAGATGTTTAATTCCGGGTCACTGCGGAGTGCATCATAGTGATTGCCTGAGAAAAGGAGGTGAATTGCTCCCTGCTTGACTGATTGAGCGGTGAAATTTAAGAGCTCGCCATGTTTTCTAGTTGTGTTTGTCCAGATGAGGAGAGGTCTGTCTCGTAGTTTGGCAGCCGCGAGTGCTTCCAAGTCAGAACCCCATACCAGGTCTGGGGTCTGCATCCAGTGAAGATACTCAGCCGCCGAGGCAAAGCGGCGGGGCGTGTTGGTCTTTCTTCTTTTGCTTGGGTGCTGGTGTTGGTGTTTGCCTTCCTGGCCGGTGACTTTTTTCGGGGGCTCGTCAGGCAGTCTATATATATAGTTGGCTTGGGTAGAGTGGCGGTCCCAATGTGTGGCAATGTGTTGAGCACACTGGCTTCGAAGCTCAAGGTGCCTGCTCTCTGATTCATTCAGAGCT